TTGGGGTGAGAAATTTCAAATTTGGATTCTCATCCCACAGCGGCATGGTGGTTAGAACTGTTGCCTCACAGCAAGAAGGTCCTGAGTTCAATTTCACCATCAGGCCGGGGTCTTTCTGTGTGTACTCCAGCTTCCTCCCACAGTTCAAAGACATGTAGTTAGTTAAGTTAGGTTGCCCATAGTGAGTGCGTATGGTTGTCTGTCTCTATCTGTTAGCCCTGTGACAGACTGGGTATACCCTAAGACAGCTGGGATAGACAAAAATAAGTGGAAGAGAATGGATGGATGGATTCTCATCCCACAAGACCTGCTACCACTGACTTTCAGTCCAGTTCTTGTGTAATTTGTCATTCTTCATTCTTTTGGTATGGTAGCTACCCTTCCATTAATTGTTTCTGATGAGGCTTTAGCAATAAGGATCAACTGAAGGGCCATCTAGATTTTTTTTTCCTATTTCTTACCAAAATAATTTTCAAATACTGTCCATTTTCTGTTGATAGTTTATTTTTGAGTTGTTATTGCATCTTTTTTTCTGCACTTGTGCCATTATCCTATATTCTTTTTAACGACACACTGCACACTGGCAAGTTTTAGGCTAATAGCTTTTTGAAATTTTGCAAAAATACAGTACTATGCCTGTCAGACTTGTTATCACTGGCACTTTTTGTAGATTCAGCTAAAGAAAGTACACCTAATTATGTTTTTTGTGACTGACTGCTAGCAACAAGGTGCCTAAAGAAACATCCCTTGAGTTTTTATGCTTCAGTGATCCATGGGTCACTGTGAAGTGGCTTAATAAAGACCAAAAGATATTCTTCCAAAAATGGTCTGTTTCAAGGACTGGACTAAAATGAGTAAAAAGCAGCCAATATCCAAGTAAGAACTTTTTTTTTTGTTATTACTTTATTCTGAACAAAACGAGACAGCAACTTAGAAGAGACAGATCCAGGACAAGGACATAGATGACTTAAAAACACGGACGATACAATAATTGAAACACGGGGGATATAGGAGCGAGTGTAGACTGTATAATGTGCAAGGAACCTCAATGTGAGAAGTGTCTTTAACCAGAATCTGTCAGTGATCAGGTGAAAGATGGTGGGATGTGGCAGCCCAGCAAGTAAGACAGCTGTGCAGTGATCTGGGTCCAAAAGGGCTTCATGTAGGTGCAGAGCCTGATTGCATCTCGGGGTGTTCTGAGAGCACTGTATGCAAGAACCGGTGTCGCTAAATCCAATTTTGCAAAGGTGATGCCAAGAGTGAGATGAGTAATTCTTTTTTTTCTTTCCAAATAGTTGAATTGAACAAGCTATAATTGAATGCAAAGTCTGGGTTATTGAAGATTAGTGACTTAGATTAGTGGATGGTCTAACTCCAGAGTGTGTGATCTGATATGCATCCCACCAGGCTGTCAGAGTTGATGCTATTGTTATACTTTGGAAGCATTTATGTTTTTTAAGAGGCTGGGTGATAAGCGGTATTTCTGACAAATGTATATCTTTACCAAGTACTTGTTTGGTATCTAACCAGGTGGTTTCATGTTGGGAGTGCAAGTATAACTTTGAAAGACCTTCAGAAAGCTTGGAGAACTACTGCTCAAGAACACTTTAAAAACACAAAAGTGTCATTTGAAGCAAGATATCCAGAAAGGAGGGGCGGCTCAAGACTTTTGCACAGAACAGTACATATGTTGACCTAATTGTATCTTTGGCCAAAACTAATGAGCATCCACCACTGTAACAGGATAGACACATGAAAGATGATAAGTAAAAGCAAAATATGTCCACTGGAAGTATAAATAAGATCTATTAATCATTAATTCTATGGTTTCGCAGATTCAGACACACAGTCTGCCATCGGTTAAACCTAGAGTCGGTTTATAAGCACATTCTCC